CTCGTTTGGATAGTCACAGTAGTCTTCTTATTGTGCATGTATTATCTAGTGACAAACAGCTCCTCGCATACTGTCGTTGTTTATCGGTCATCTCTCTACTTGTGTTCTTTGAAACTGTTCCATTAATTTTCTTTCATGTTTACTTTTCATTGGCTTACCGTAAGTAGTTATATTTTAGCAGTAGAAAATAAATTAAAAATAGTTTTGCTTTATTTTGTGCTAATTAGTCCAAATTCCGATTTTAATACGCGGTTGTGTTTTCGAAATGGCAAATTGAATCCTACGGTTCTGATGTATAATTTTGCGCAAACATTTGATGTTTTCTACGTTCGTACTTTGCATGACTCTGGAGAACCGGAGAGTCCGCGGAAAGTATACGTATCGATCTGGCGAATTGGAGAATAGGAGTATCGGCGGGGCGGATAATGCGCGAAACTGTTAGGTCCTCCGATTCGGAGTTGGAGTAGAATGGTAGATCAATCGATAGGTATCTAAATTTTTTTCGCGCAGCATCCAATTCGCCCGTGTCGCACAATTTAAATGTCCGCACTGTGGGGACGCGACGCAGCTGCCGTCACGTGCACTTCGCAGTAGGACCTAAATATGTGAATTGAAAGTACTGCAGTGTATCGAGCCATTTAGCTAGTACAGCAGCGTGCTTGTAGTGTCCCTCATGTTGTCTAGAAATCTCGCTCTGAAATCCTCTAGTGAAAAACATACTTGAAATTTCAGGATTCCTTCAGGACTTTGCAGAGGGATTTGGTAAAAATTGTGTGCATGAAGATATGTCAAAGAGAACATTTATTTCAAAATGGAATCCCTACCCGAAACCAGCGCCTATACCAGCCAAAAGTCGTGGTCGCTCGCGTCATGAGGATTTGCACCCTGAGAAGCGAAAAGGTATAACCTGGACTACTGTCTATTTTTTCGATGGAACTTGAGTAATTGTTTAAACTCTTGCAGAAGGAAATGGTGACGGTGGAATTCGTTGGTATGGAGATCCTTCACAGACGAAAGTACCTCCTCGAATCACCAGTGGGAGAATGACCCAAAGGGTTGGGTTGTTCCGAAATGCTAAGCAATCGCAAATCGTCGTCAATGAGATTTCCTCCGTTGTCAGGAAAGCGGTGAGTTTTAAATTTTTTAATACTGAACGGCGCTAACCTATTTAGAGTGAGGGCGAAGCCAATCAGAGCGCCTCTTTCTAGCCAAGCTTAAAGGCACCCCGACCCAGCCAAGTCAGTACATGCTCGTCCTTCGTTTGGCAGGTAGTACGTCAGCCCCAGCCAGATACTCATCGCACTCTTGCGACTCCTCAGCGAAGTAGGAGGAGCTAGTAACCGCCTCAAAGTTTCTATTTCTACGGCTCCTTCGCCTCAGTTGGACCGCCTCAGCTAGTGCCCGTCTGACGGGGGCGTCAGTTGTTCCTTGGTTGGGACGGCGAGTAATCGCAACTGCAAATTTTTTGCTGACCGCGCTCGTGCTCGTTATCTGCTCTCCTTCATCACATTTTATTCATTGGGAGCACGTACAGTCAACAGCAACCCATCTCGTAAGGTAAACGCGTAAAAATCACGAATGATGCAATTTCTGTGGTGCAAAAGCTCGACGCACTTCACTACACTACCCCCACGTCACTAGCGTTCGGACGCGGCTTTCTTAAATGTTTCCTTTACTTTTCAGCGCTTTTCTCTATCCACGTTTCTGTTGTTTTTTGTTTTTTTTTTCGCTTCGCGATGAGTATCCACTACTGGAGACGTGACAAAAGTGATTTGTGAGCCAGGGCTTGCACAGAGCAGGAGGTGTGACTGTCAGGGCGCGATTTTGTTTATGGTGTTCTTGAGGGCTCTTGTTTCTTTTTTCCTTCATTGAGGAATTACTTATCAGCTACTGTTTCATAATTGATCAGCAATTATCCTTGACACTTTTATCGCGGGAGCTGTCTTTAAGCAGCGTTCAGACTTCGCGACGGCGCTTCGGTCGCGCGATTCGACGATCGATGCGCATGCTTTCGACTGCATCGATCGCGTCGAACGCGCGACCGAAGCGCTGCCGTCGCGAAGTCTGAACGCTGCCTTGGCTCGGAACTCAAGAGTCTCAGGGTCCTAGTGGGCTACGCTTGCAGAGCAGGCAGGCTCTACGTGATCTGACCTCCTCGAGGCGTGCGGGCTATTAAAGACCTCCCGTCTCTGAATACGTTAGCCTCCCTTTTGCAATGTAAAAGTAAACCATTGGATTTCCCACTGTGTCGATAGGTATCTATTCCTTTGCGTTTATCGTCAGACTTTCTAACGGCGTAATGTATGAACGTCACCGGTGACGACCGCCGGCTGGTGTTCGGGTAATTATAACCTATCCGTTGTGCTAACGCCTGTGCGCCTTCATTTCGCTATTTCTTAGGGAGTGGGCTAACCTTTTTTGTGTCAGCCATTTTTCTTCAGAAACTTAACCTTGCTTTTGTCATTTTTTTGTGTTCAGTTCTTTTTACTTATTCTTTTTCGCCTTTCAATCTTTTTCGAGTTTGGTTCGTTTAGTTTGCACACCTTTTTTGTTTATATCCTGCAAAGAACTAAATAAACCACACGATGTTGGTGAAAACGATTAGTTTTTTGAAAACTAGCAAAACTATAGTGAAGACCTTGTAATATGGCTGAATTTCAATTAATCGGTGAATTCCAGTCAAATAAACAAATCGGACGTCTCGTTGCTCCTGATAAAGATATTTCTCGTTCAACTAGTAGCAGTGTGGATGAGCTATTCCCTCGAGAGCATGTCACAACTCATGAAGCTGAATGGTATCTAACTTTTTATTCATACTACATCTTAACTCCATGTTTGGGCCTTCGACCGAATTGTTAACATGGACAGCTGCGGGCACTATGTTGGGTCAGAGAGGTTGGTTTGGAGCGGCGCCAACCCGTTCTACACAACTCGCTAAAGTGGGTGAAAACAAATGGTGGAAAACGAGCCGGTGCCGCGCCATGCCTGGCTCCCTGGCACGCCCCAACGCCTGCAGTGAAAACGACCGTACACCTCTGCGCTGCTTCTGCCAGTGCCCTGCAAAAATCCATACACTCAGCAGTGCCCGCAACAAAGTCCGTAGACACGCCCCCTATTACTTAATTGCATATTGTTGTACCCTCAATCATTCTCTGTGAGTATTCTTTATGTGTATTGTCGTAACGATGACATTTTTAGCAATTCCCTTGACACTGACATGCGGTACGACGGCTTGGGTAAAAGTAAAGAAAGAGAGGAGTTTCCTTACAGGCTAAGATACGATCAAGGTGGCTTTCCGATGTTCCACATTTGAAATTCCTGCTTTTATAAATACTCTAGCAGATTACGGCTCTGAAGGAAGTAGTATGCTACAACGGAGAGAGATCCAGTTAGGTCCCGAGCAGAAATTGCGAGGGTTCATAACGATCCTATTCTCCGACGTTCTCCAGAAACATCCAAATGGAGGTATGTTTCCAGTTCTGAATGTAAAATAAACTTTCTGAAAAACGGATATCGTCTGCAGAGCTCGTGTGGAAGATGGTGACAGCGGTCTTGACGATCTGTCATATGAGGCTGCAAGGCCTTCGTCGATGCGCCATGTAATTTTTCCCCTTTCTAGACTTATTTTGGGCGCTCTTCGGCTTGGGGGGGAGGGGTGCGGAGTGGAGCGGAGAAGGCGTCCAAGATTTTACGGGTCTTCGCAAGGTAGCCTGTGCAATCTTGGATGAGTATTATTTGATGCCCTCTGCCAAACAGAAGCGCGCTTTTTTTCTACTTCTTGTAGGATTGATAGCTACAGTCAAAATCATTTAGACGTGTAAAAATCCCGTTTCTAAAATAGCAGCCTTACGGAGGGGTAGTATGCAGACTCCTCCTCGTGGTTCTTCTCGGAATCAGGCTGCTTCATTGGGGTAAGCTTTCAGGGTAGCTTCTCCAGCTATTCTCCAATCTATTTCTTTGTTTTGAAGAGATCCTGGGAAATGGACCTTCAATGTCTGACGTTGCCGCACGTGTGCTGTCAGCTTTACCGCCTATTTACCTTCGAGACGATCACCACGAGAAATACGATACGTTAGCTGTGCGATTGCTTGCAGATAGTATCAAAAACAGTGATTCTGTGCACGGGTCCACTTCTGAAGTGAGTTTTTTGCAATTACGTCCTTGGTTCTGACCCTCAACGGAGTAAAAGTGCGTGACAAGTAAACTAAAAGGCTATAGTTGGCTGGCATTGCTGTTGTCCCCACACGTCCACGGACTCAGGAGTTTGAGAGACTGCATGACGAGGAGTGTATAAGAATCAGTCAGGTCAGCTGGGGAGATTGAGCTACTGGAGAGACCCGGGCGCAGCGATCGCTGGGATTCGGCGTACTGGAGAGTGAGCAACTTGTTGATTTGAGAGACTTGGTGTTCTGGCGTTTTGGGAGGTCGCCGAATCGATCGCTCAGTCTCCCGAATCAGCGAATCTCCTCCGCTATACTT